AGTGAGCACACTTGATTTTTCAATTCTTATATTGTCTAAGCCTTCTGATTTAATGCTACAGGGATTATTTTCACCAGTTGTAATCATCATTTTAATAATTTTTAACAGCTGCATTTCTTCTAAGAGTTGAATAATTGCTGTGGACGGCCTGACCATTTTGTTTGCTTCGTTACCACACTTGCACAGTATGGCCTTCATAACTTAACATAAATCATTCTGTACACAAAATGGTTGCCAGTAAACACAATCCATCAAATAATCCTGCTACACATATTCCACTGATACAAGGACTTTCAGGTACAGTGTCAGGGTTCCTGGAACAGGTCTTTGTTGAATTACAAAACTGTTTGTTAGATCACAAAAAGGTTCAACTGATAAGTTTGTTTAGAAACCGTGTCATCGTTTAAAGAGAATAGAAACTGCCGTGTCATCGTTGAAAGAGAATAGAAACTGAACGAAATACTTGAGGCGGTCACCTCCTGAACAGAAATGTAGTTTATTGTAAGAAAAGAGAATGAAAGGGGAAGGGAGCTTGAATTGCCAAGTTTGGAATAATGTAAGTTTAATTAGTGTTGTATCTTCATACATTCGTCGCGTAAGCTTCCGCCATTTAATAGGAAATGTCTATTAGATTGGGTGGCAAGCGGACGGGATAAATCCACATGGTTGCCATTTTTTAAAATAAGTTCAGCACATCCGCTTCAGACAGGGGTCTTCCAACTTGGCAACTTTAAGACATGCGGACTTCAACTCCCAGAATTCCTCAGCCAGCCCTAAGGGCTGGCTGAGGAATTCTGGGAGTTGAAGTCCGCAAGTCTTAAAGTTGCCCGGTTGGAAGACCCCTGGCTACAGAGATTCAAAACACAAGTTCAAAATTCTTATTTGGCTTGCTTGATTGGTACTATCCTGCCTGCTCAGTGCTTCCTTTTGGGACAATGAGACATGTACAGGTAGTCCCCAACTTACAACCATTTGTTTAATGACCGTCTGAAGTGATAAGGGCACTGGAAACGTGCCTTTTGACTGCTTTTCACACTCACGATCATCGCAGCATCCCGATAGTCACGGGATCAAAATCTGGACCTTTGGCAACTGGCATGTACTTACGACTGTTGCAGTGTCCCGGGATCACGTGATCCCCTTTTGCAACCTTCTGACAAGCAAAGTCAATGGGGAAGCCAGATTCACTTAACAACCAGGTTACTAACTTAACAACTGCATTGATTCACTTAACAATTGTGGCAAGGAACGTCGTAAAATGGAGCAAAAATCACTTAACAGCTGTCCTGCTTAGCAACGGAAATTCTGGGTTCAGTTGTGGTCATAAGTCAAGGACTGTGGGTACTCTTTCTCGGCACTGATTGCACCCTAATTGCAAGTGATTACTCATTCAAGGGGTTGTGTGCCCTATGGAAGAACCGTGCAATTTGGTTCCATGTACCATAAGGGATAACCTTGTAGTGGACGCCTTCAGTGTCGCTGTAGACGTAGACATAGTTCTCTTTGTTGCCCGACACGAACTTGACCATGTGCCCACCACAGTCCACTAACACGTAAGCGTTGTTCTGGATGCACCACGGCTCCCTGGGGAACATCTCCAAGGTCAACTGCAAGCATTTCTTGAAAGTCTCCGAAAGGATTCTCCAGGTTTCCAACGTACGCTTCACTCTTAGCAGATCATTGGTGCTCCACGGTTCCTCGCAGACGAGCATCCTGGCGTGATACATTTCGGCAGTCAGTTCCTTGACAATATATTGGATTTTCTCATTCAAGGCAAGCACTAAAATCTCGCAATGGCCTTTGCCCGCATGGAATTCCATGGTTAGCCCCTCACATTGGATTAGTAATCGGGCATTTTGCTGCACTATCACGGGTTCCTTTCTAAATCCATTGATGGCTACGGTAAAACATGCTTGAAGCAGTGGACGGTCTTTGGCCAACTGAATGAGATGCTTCTTGAGATTCCATTCATTCAGGGGTTTCCAGGAAGGCATCAGAGTCTCCATTACCATGGCAATGGCCTTCTCTGCATCAATGGAAGAATCCTTCAGCTTGGCCATGGTTAGGCACAATACCAATGCAATCAGGAGGATAACGAGTACGGTAATCTGAATGTATTGTCCCGACTTGAAGAATCTGGGGTAGATTCCCACTGGTATTCATTTTCATCTTCAGCCATGTTCCTAAAAGGAGTTAAATATCATCAGCATTGGAAAGGCAACGATCAAAATGGGCTTTTTTAAAACAAAAACAAAGACATGTAAAAATAAATAAAAATTGGGGTATTGTTTTCCAAAAACACAAAAGTAATGAATGCAAATGTTTAGAAATATAAATATTTTATAAGTGTTATCCAGACGTTTAATTTTAATTAGCTAAAAATCCCCTTGCATTTTTTTAAAAAATATATATAATCTCCTTCTAGGCCAGAGTCTTACTAGATTCATTACTTTAAATATAAAAAAGTGTTTAGATTTTACTGAAATCAATTCTGCTGGTTAGCATTCCTAAACTTGGGACCATAATGGTGAATTGTTTAATCTCAGTTGAATCAATACTTGTCTAATTACTTACAGGTAGCTGCCCTATAATTGAAACAAACCAGATTGAACTGGGACACTCTGTAAATTCTCCTTATCCTGCAGGATAATTAGGCCGCGATTCATTTTGCAAAAAGGGTGTTCAGATAAAATAGGAATGGTGATAAACGAAGCATCAATTTATTACAATGCTGTTCCTAGCTGTAGTGTGCCATCTCTGTAGGTAGTATGCTGCTAAGCCATCTGCATTACACCTCTCTGGCCAACACATAGAATAACAGAGTTGGAAGGGACCTTGGAGGTCTTCTAGCCCAACCCCCTGCTCGGCCAGGAGACCCTACATCATTTCAGACAAATAGCTGTCCAGTCTCTTCTTAAAAACTTCCAGTGTTGGAGCATTCACCGCTTCTGGAGGCAGGTTGTTCCACTGGTTAATTGTTCTCACTATCGGGAAATTTCTTCTTAGTTCCAGGTTGCTTCTCTCCTTGATTAGTTTCCATCCGTTGTTTCTTGTCCTGATTTCAGGCATTTTGGAAAATAGGTTGACACCCCCCTCCTCCCCTTCTTTGTGGCAGCCTCTTAGATATTGGAACACTGCTATTGTGTCACCCCTAGTCCTTCTTTTAGACTGTAGCTAGACTATATATTAATAGTTAATAGCTAGATTATACATTAATAGTTGCCAGCATTAATGTCATTACAAAGTGCAGAAATAAAGGCAACCTGGAAAAACCTCCCAGAGAAAAAGGCCCTTATCCCCCCCCCTCCCCTTTCAAAAACAGCCGGGTCAACAGTCCCGATCTCACCTGCAGACGCAGCCCCAAATCGTCGCCTCCGTAGTAGTTTCCTCCTGCGCTTTCAACCTCCTTGCAAACGCACCACCTCAACTGCCCTTCCTCCTTCCCTCCTCCCCTCCTACTTTATAGAGAAGCAACCTGTATCGCCTGGCTGAGCGCCATCCAGCAACCCAGAGTCCCCCCCACCTCTGGCCCGGGATGGGGATGTTTCGCATCGTCCGATGCCTGATTGAGAATTGAAGCGGCGGAGCCAGAGGGCTCTCCTAAAAAAACCGCAAGGTTTCGCGCTCCAATTCTTGCCAGATTCTACTGGAGGGGGTGGTGGAAATCCAGATAAGAAGGGGGAAAAACCCACACACGCACTATCGGTTTTAAACCACATTATTTTTACCCATTTAATATAATGCATTGTGTAGAAACGCTTAGATTTCATTGCATTTTAAGAGAGGGGGGGGACCCCTAGAAACCCAGACAGGGATCGAAAAACTCAGATCTGAGTTTTAAAAACCCAGCAATGGTAACTTGGCGAATAAGGTAGTCCAATATTTTCTCTCTCTCTCTCTCTCTCTCTTTCTCTCTTTCTCTCTCTCTCTTCTCTCTTTCTCTCGCTCTGTTTTTCCTTTCTCTTCTTTGTCCTCTCTTTCTCTTTGTCTCTCTCTTTCCCTTCTCTCTCTCTCTCTTCTGTTTCTCTTGCTCTGTTTTTCCTCTCTTCTTTGTCCTCTCTCTTTGTCTCTCTCTCTCGCTCTCTTTTTCTTTCTCTTCTTTATCCTCTCTTTCTTTTTGTCTCTCTCTCTTTCCCTTCTCTCTCTCTCTCTCTCTTCTATTTTCTCGCTCTGTTTTTCCTCTTCTTTGTCCTCTCTCTTTGTCTCTCTCTCTCTCTTTCTCTCTCTCTCTTCTCTCTTTCTCTCGCTCTGTTTTTCCTTTCTCTTCTTTGTCCTCTCTTTCTCTTTGTCTCTCTCTTTCCCTTCTCTCTCTCTCTCTTCTGTTTCTCTCGCTCTGTTTTTTCTCTCTTCTTTGTCCTCTCTCTTTGTCTCTCTGTCTCTCTCTCATTCTTTCTCTCTCTCTCTCTCTCTCCTCTCTCTCGCTGTTTTTCCTTTCTCTTCTTTGTCCTCTCTTTCTCTTTGTCTCTCTTTCCCTTCTCTCTCTCTCCTATTTCTCTCTCTGTTTTTCCTCTCTTTTTTGTCCTCTTCTCTTTCTCTCGCTCTTTTTTTCCTCTCTCCTCTCTTTCTCTCGCTCTTTTTTTCCTTTCTCTTCTTTGTCCTCTCTTTCTCTTTGTCTCTCTCTTTCCCTTCTCTCTCTCTCTCTTCTATTTCTCTCTGTGTGTTTTTCCTCTCTTTTTGTCCTCTCTTTTCTCTCTCTCTCTTCCCCCTTTTTCTCTCTCTCTCTCTTCTCTTTCTCTCTGTCTTTTCTCTTTCTTCTTTGCTCTCTCTCTTTTCCCCTCTTCTCTCTCGCTCGCTCGCTCGCTCTTTCGCTTTTTCTCTCGCCCTCTCCCTCTCTCTCCCTCCCTTCCCATCCCAGATTTTGTGCCAATCGCACAAAACTCAGGGGGGCTTTCCGCTTTTCAGCAGGGGAACGCCTCGGCTTCCCACGACCGAGTTCCTTCCAGGAGGGGGCAGCAGCGCCACCGCATAAAACTTCTGGGCGAATTCAGACGAGCGTGCAGAGGCGAGAAGCAGGAAACGCGGCTCCGAAGTTGTCGGGACGAGAAAGCGCTTCGGCTCCCGAACTCTCCGGCGCCAGGTAAAGTCAACGCCAGCGGTAACGTGCGGCGGGGAGAGCGCACCCCAGCAACCCCCGATGGTGGGGCCGCCGCCACCGAGGTCGCCCCCGCTCTTGGCCAAACTTATGGGGGCGGGGGATGTTGATTCTTTTGGACAGAGGCTTCCAGGCCTTCTTGACCATGTAAAGTTATGAATGCACTAAAACCCTGTCCAAATGTAAAGTATTGCCAGGTCTGCTTCCCAAAAATAGTGGACAAGCGGGGGGGGGGGGTTAAGTAGTAAAAAAAAGTAGACTGTACAGCTTTAGATTACGTACCATTTCATCATAAAGCTTTTGAATTAAAAAAATGTCTATTTTGTGAAAAAAAATAGTGAACATAATGTGAAAAAAGCGGACTGTCCGCTCAAATAGTAGACACCTGGCAACCCTAAAAGTATTAATACCACTTTACAAGGCCTTGGTAAGGCCACACTTGGAATACTGCATCCAGTTTTGATCACCGCGATGTAAAAAAGACGTTGAGACTCTAGAAAGAGTACAGAGAAGAGCAACAAAGATGATTAGGGGACTGGAGGCTAAAACGTATAAAGAACAGTTGCTGGAATTGGGTATGTCTAGTTTAAGGAAGAGAAGGACGAGGGGGGACAGGATAGCAGTCTTCCAGTATCTCAGGGGCTGCCCCAAAGAAGAGGGAGTCAAGCTATTCTCCAAAGCGCCTGGAAACTGGAAACTGATCAAGGAGAGAAGCAACCTAGAACTAAGGAGAAACTTCCTGACAGTGAGAACAATTAACCAGTGGAACAACCTGCCTCCAGAAGCGGTGAATGCTCCAACACTGGAAGTTTTTAAGAAGAGACTGGACAACCCATTTGTCCGAAATGGTATAGGGTTTCCTGCCTGAGCAGGGAGCTGGACTAGATGACCTCCAAGGTTCCTTCCAATTATTATTATTATTATTATTATTATTATTATTATTATTATTATTATTATTATTATTATTATTATTCTATGCCCAAAGGATACCCAAAGCATGCCCAAAGGACTGGGGATCATTCCCATTCCGGGCGACTGGAGCAGTTTAGAGGAGAGGGAGAAAACGGGGGAGGGATGCAGAGGGAAGGGGCCAAAGAAAGAGGCAAATGGGGGACAAGGGGGGGGGAATGTTGCAAGCTTAAAAGAGAAACAAGTTGCATTGAGTTTGAGAATTGGGGGTGCAGGGGGGGGAGGAAAGGAGCCTTTATTATTCTGCCTTTGGTTCAGCAGCTCAAGCTTAATGCTTCATTCCTCCTCCATTTTCCTACAACAACTCTGCGAGGGAGGGGTATGTGTGTGTGTGTGTGTGAGAGAGAGAGAGAGAGAGATAGGGAGAGAGAGAGAGAGAGAGAGAGAGAGGGAGGGGTTCAAAGTCAGACACAGAAAACAGAGCGATTAAAAGCGGGCTGGGGGAGGAGAATGGTTTTGTCACTTTTTGGAATCCAAACTGGAAGAGAGGAAGCAAGGTAAACATGGGAACAAATCGTTGTTTGTCGTAGCCTGGTGCAAAATGGCTGATGAGGTACCTCAAAAGAAGCAGAATTCAGTGGAAAGAGCCCACAGAAGTTTCGACAAAATTTCAGTCGTCGTCCCGGTTATCAACTAAATCAGTGATGGCGAACCTTTTAGAGACCGAGTGCCCAAACTGCAACCCAAAACCCACTTATGCATCGTCAGGTGCCGGGTGGGTACGGCCCATTGGGTGGATGTGGCCCATTGGGTGGGTGTGGCCCATTGGGTGGGCGTGGCTGCGGTGATAACGGCAGACTGGGTGGGACTAAAAAGTTCAATCAATCAATTCCAACTTTGCAAGATCTTTCTTTTCCCCGCAAGAAGTTGAAATTGACTGATTGATTGAACCTTTTTTTTTTTTGCACACGGCGACGGAGGCCTAAAGCGAAAAGGTTTTATAAAACCCAGCTGAAGGCCTAGGACTGGGGCAACGATGCGCGTGCCCACAGAGAGGGCTCTGAGTGCCGCCTCTGGCACCCGTGCCATAGGTTCACCACCACTGAACTAAATCAAACAATGTAAGACTTAGCGTGATATGTGAACTCAGTCAAAGGAACATTACTGGGTGGCTAAATAAAGTCATTTCTGTTAAATAACGGAATGGTGCACAAGTAGTCCTTGGCAGTTCAAGGACTACTAACAGTTCATTTAGTGACTGTTCAAAGTTGCAATGGGACTGAAAAAAGTGACTTGTGACCTTTTTTCACAGTTACAATCTTTGCAGTATCCCCATGATCATGTGATCAAAATTCAGAGGCTTGGCAACTGATTCACATTTATGACGGTTGCAGTGTCCCAGGGTCACGTGATCCCCTTTTGCGAACTTCTGACTAGCAAAGTCAATGGGGGAAGCCAGATTCACTTAACAATCGGGTTACTAACTTAACTACATTGATTCACTGAACAACTGTGTGGCAAGGAAGGTCGTAAAATGGAGCAAAACTCACTTAAGTGTCTTGCTTAGCAACAGCAATGTTGTGGTCGTATGTTGAGGACCACCTGCATTGACCTTCTTTCCTCTCCTTTTCTCGTAGGCTTTGTTATGGCGAGGCAGGATCAGTTCATACCACCAAATGAGGATGGTGATTTTGTCAACGACTATGATGTCATCACCGATGAAGAGATTGAAGAGATTAAGGATGCCCTTGAAGAAGGGAGAATGGACAGAGCCATTTCCAAGGTTATGGAAAACCTTCAGGTCCTGGAGAACATCCCCTTGAACATAGCAGTAACTGGAGAATCTGGGTCAGGGAAGTCCTCCTTTGTCAATGCCATCCGAGGGTTAGGAGACGACGAAGCTGCTTCTGCCCCCACCGGGGTAGTGGAGACCACAGAGAAGCCCACACCTTACCCACACCCCAAGTACCGCAATGTCACTCTGTGGGATCTGCCTGGAATTGGAACGCCAACATTCCACACCAGCCTTTACCTGGAGCAGGTTCACTTCCCCTCCTACGACTTCTTCATCCTCATTGCCTCAGAACGCTTCAAGGTCCATCATGTCCAGCTGGCACAGGAAATCCGTCGCCGGGGGAAGCATTTCTATTTTGTGCGCTCCAAAGTGGATGCAGATTTGGAGGCCAGCAGAAAACGCCGGCCACAAACTTACAATGAGGAGACTATCCTGGAACAGATACGAAAAAATTGCCGGGCGCATTTATTGGACATGAAAATGCCCGATTCCAAAGTGTTCCTTCTCTCCAACTGGGAGTTTGATAAATACGACTTCGGGATGCTGGAGGAAACCTTGGAGAAGGAACTGCCAAGCCATAAGAGACAGGCTTTTCTCCTGGCCTTGCCAAACATCTCTCTAAACATCCTGCAGAAAAAGAAGATGGCTTTACAGAAAGAGATCTGGAAGCTGGCTATTGTCTCCGCTGGAGTGGCTGCTGTGCCCATTCCAGGCCTCGGGGTTACCTGTGATATAACCATCCTGATCAAACACCTCTCAAAATACCTCAACAGTTTTGGCCTGGATGAGGAATCTCTTACCAGGTTGGCTAAGAAGGCCAACAAGCCTGTGGAGGAGATCAAAGAGGTAATAAACTCGCCGTTAGCTAAAGAGATCTCCAGAGACTTAGTTCTAAAGCTGCTCACCAAAGCTGGCGGTGGGGCACTAATGTACATGGAGTTCTTCGTCAGCGCAATACCCATACTTGGTTCCGTGGCAGCTGGAGGAATCTCCTTTGGTACCACCTACTACATGCTCAAGAGCTGCCTGGACGAGGTGGCCAACGATGCTCACAATGTTTTCATCAAGGCTTTTGAGTCTGAGGTCTGAAGGAATTCAGACCTTGAGGAACCGATTGGGAACGAGCACTCAATTAGTGTTAATTGTACTGAATCAAATACTTCGTATTTTCACCAGCCCATAACTAAATTCACCAACTAGAAGAGGGGAAAAGAGACATGAAGCACAAAACTTCACCTTTTGCAATAATTTAATTTTTTATGATAGCCGAGGGGTGGGTTACTTTATTTCCATTTATCGCAAGATATAAAGAGTGAGTATGACGGATTCCAGGATAGAATTATGCCATCATTGCAAAACGAGACTTCCCAGTGTTCTTTGAGGGAAAAGACAAATAAGGATGAAGTTGGTTTGAATTTGGAAAGCACAAATTGTCCTGTATTTAGGATTTCCTATATTTGACACATTCTTTAACTGACCAAACCATCAAAGCTGACACGAGTCAGAGTGTAGACCAAGGATAGGCAATTTTGGCTTTTATGACTCGTGGACTTCAACTCCCAGAATTCCTGAGCCAGCCATGCTGAGGGGAAACGGAGAGGTTTCCATGCTGAGCCATGTTGGCTCAGGAATTCTGGGCGTTGAAGTCCATGAGTCATAAAAGAGTCAAGGTTGCCTACCCCTGGCATAGACAAACTCAAAATAGTGCTAGATCAGATGTGGAGAGACCTGGCCCATAGAATCGCCAAGAGTTGGACACAATTGAATGGGTAACATCTTCATTTTTATCCACCAAAGGCCTTCTTGCAATGATCTGTTTTTTAAATTGTAAAATTATACTTTCTTATTGTCCCAGTTGGTTTTAACTGAAGCTGAGTAATTTATCAAATTGCAGACTGGTACCAATAATGTTTTAGATTTCCTAAAATCCGGATGGCCCCCAAGGTTGAAAGAATTGTTTCAAGATCATCATGAATTTTAATGCTCCTCTCAGATGTTCAACAATATAGCCACAAGCAGTCAAGAAACAGGTCATAGACGACCACCCAGTAGAGCAGCCATGAAGCTGTTGGAAGTTATTCGTGTCTATACCTACAAAGATCAGAATTGTGCAAGCTACGGCATTCCCTGTGACAGTGAGATCATTGAACAAATCAATCCAGAGTTCTTACTCAAGGCTAAATTGACCAGGCTCAAATTATCCTACTTTGGAAATACATCATGCAAATTACTCTTATTAGCATATTATAGAGAGGGAACCAGCCTAGAACTAAGGAGAAATTTCCTGACAGTGAGGACAATTAACCAGTGGAACAGCTTGCCTCCAGAAGTTGTGTGTGCTCCATCACTGGAGGCTTTGAAGAAGAGACTGGACAGCCACTTGTCTAGAATGGTATACACTACAGTCTCCTGCTTGAGCAGGAGGTTGAACTGGAAGACCTCCAAGCTTCCTTCCAACTATATTATTCTATTCTTCTTCTATTATTCTCTGGAGAAGGCTACAACACTGGGAAAAGTTGAAGGAAAGAGGTCCTCAATGAGGTGGATGGATTCAGTTATAGTGGTGATGAGGGCACTGTTGGCAGACCTAAAAGATCGGACTGGAAACAGATCATCGTGGAGAAAATCTGTGTGGCTGCTAGGAGTCAATGACTTCATGCTACATTATCAATCAAACACTTTTTCTACTATGTTGGTACACGCTGTTCAGTGACATTTGTGTGAGCGTTGGGCTGCCATACAGATTTCTTAAAACGAATGAATAAAATAAAACGAATAGAAACAAATATGTTTGTCTGTGAATGGTTGGAACAGTTGCAAGTTTCATGAGCCTGTAGAATGACAATGGATCGTTCAGAAGTTGCTCTTTCGCTTCTAATCTGAGCAAGCTGGCTTATTCGCCTTTTTAAGTCCCACGGAGGATATTTTCCTTTCAACGGCAAACACAGTTTTTAAGAACAGCAAGTTTGAATGAAAAGGAAATTGCTGCATTTGTCAAGCACAGGTGATAACACAGCAGTGAGTGAGTGAGTGTGTGTATGTGTGTGAAAAATTCCACCAAAACTGAAGCAGCTTCTACAGTTTATTAAACAAGAATAACCATCCATGCAAAAAGGAGAGGTCTGCCCAGCTTGCATCAGAGGACCAGGAAAAACAGGGCCAAACGGGGGCAAGGGACACAGGCTGGAATAGAGAGATAAGAGGCAAGATACATGCCCCACAAAATGAAAGCTTTTATGAGCGACACACTGAAGTAGGGGGGACACCCTGTGACTACGCAAACGACACTAACTCCCCATCGACCTTTGGCCTCACCTGCTATTCCAATGCAGAGGGGTTCCACTGTCCCCCCTCCCACCAGGAGATTGCAGATGGTCTTCGGACACTTCCTTGTTCGAAGGACACTGGCAGCTCTGGAATGGCTTTTAGTACAGGAGAGGCCCTCCCATCTAGGCCAGATCCCAAGGGACAAGATCCATTTTCAACAGGAGGCAGAACGGCCGTCCTCTAGGGATGAAAAGCCACCCCTGCATTTTTTCCTCTTATATCCTGCCTGGCACCACCGAAGGAGTGCAGCTCCCCTCTCTGGGGGACACATCATCCTTGGCGTGGAGGGGGCAGATACCCTGGTCTGCTCCAGCTCAGGGCTGGAGCTGCCTCTCTCAGCAGTCCCAGTATGGAGACGCTGTGCTCACGCCAACAGCCGGCTATATTCGGAGAGAGCAGAGGACTTCTTGACGCCATCCCAGATGCGTGCTGCATAGTGGAACCTGGGGGGGAAAAAAGTCAAGATTAGGGCCAATGTGCACATGGTCAAAGTTCTCCACTATGGGGTGGACCTTCACGGGCAAAGCCTGCGGTGTCTGATGCAAGAGGTCTGGAGCGCACCCATTAGCTTCTTCCTCCAAGGTGGGAGATGGATGACCTGATCTAGGATGCCTCAGCTGCCACAACTCCCGCCGGCCTCAGCTGCAGTTAAAACACAGGCTTACCAGTTCTTTTCTGTCAGGATGGTATGGGAGAGCTGAGGCCGGGACATGGACATCATCTGGCTCCGAAGCTTGGCAATCAGAGACTGGAAGCTGGGGTGTCCTTTGTATCCGGGAAGGAGGGAGAAGAGAGGGCCACTTCCCGGGGCTGTAGAAAAAGTAAATGGAAGACGGGGTGTTTGCTCCCCTTTTTGGCACGGCCAACAAATGCACCCTCCCCAAAAGATTGTGAACAATCCCACAGGAGCATGGAAGCTACAGCTGTCATCCCCATAGTTAGCAAGTTTCCCCTTATCTTAGGACACGAATCCCTGTCTGATTCAATATTCAAACAAATGGAAGCCCCAAAATTCTATAAATGATCTTATTGGGACAGAATGATACAACTCATTATGTTGAGCAGAAATCTGTCAGGAAAAAAAAAAACCCTTGTCTTTTCCTCCCCGTTTCTCATTAAAATTGTCTATTAAGCACTTCTACCTGCCTACTAAAATGCAAAACTCAGTTCAGATTTTCTTTGTTTCAAGAGAAACTGCCTGCTGTGTTAGTTGTTGTATATATGTGTAGGGGGGGGGGGGGGCTAAAAAGTAAGAAATGGCAGTATCTCCTCTCCACGTTCTGTTCAGAATCCAGTTATATTTCCTTTCTATCTATCTTCTCTGATCTAAAACCAATTCTCACCTTTCCCTGGATTCTGCCATACTCCCAAGAGGGACGGGGGAAATATGCATGCTGGTTTTATTACTTTCACTTCCTCTATTCACTACAAAGTAACCTTTTGTTTATTCGCCTTCTCTGAATTTCTCCTCCCTACCGGGCTGGGATCTGGTTTATTTCTCCGGTCAGCAGAATAAGGTGTGAAGAGCTGTTGAATGAACCTGCACAACGGAGCCGGACTGATGTTATCTTTCCTGGATTTAACACCTGGGGATTTGCCGGTCTGAACCGCCCAGAAAGAACTGTGGGGTGGAGTCTGCTTAGGGACACTTTAAAACATCGATCTGTGGGGGAATCCCTCAGATCCTGTCTATTATGCCTGCCATCAACTACTCTTAATAAAAGTTCCTGTTGGAAGAAATTGTTCCCAAGAGTTCTGCTTTCTTAAGAGGTGGGATTGAAGTGGGTCGTTACACCATAGAAACTTTCATAACGAAAGCAATTGCTCCAAGTCAGGATGTTCTAATTAAATAGGTATCTTAAATTCAGGTTTGTCATCTTTTATGTTTGGGACAAGATGTGTTCAAAACATTTCAACGTATTCCAAAACCAGAAGGGCTGGTTCACCGTGAACCTGAAGTGATCTGACTCCAGAATGTGGTTGGACCACCCTGTTTTTCAACCGGAATGAAGGCTGGGAAATGTTTTGCACATTTGCTCTACCTGGATGCTTTATTTGGAGAGGAGCCAATCTGGAAGAAGGAAATGGAGGAGCTTTGCATTCTGACCTAAGGACAAGAAAAGGCTGGGAAGTGAATTCTCGACTCACTTGCTCTGGGTAACACGTCATCTGTTTCAGAATCCATGAAGGGCAGTAAGAACAGGTTGACCTCTGTGTCCAGGTAGCTCTGTGGCAGGCCAGGGAAAATGTTACATTCAAGCATGGAAAGAGTACCTAGTAGGAAAAAAGTGAGACTTCTAAGTTTTCCTGTCTTTTGTCAGGCTGAGCCATCCAGAAAAACGTGAATCCAAGTTTCTATTAGTGAGTGAATATATTTTTCTTTTTTTGGGGGGGGGGGACTAATCCTTTGTGATGCATATGACTCCTCTGAATGTGAGCCTGTTGAATGGACATTTCCTTCAGGTGGGCATGTTCACCCTCCAATCACCGATTCTACACATCATCTAGTGTACGGGTCGGCAACCCGCGGCTCCGGAGCCACATGTGGCTATTTGAGCCTTCTCCTGCGGCTCCCAGCCTCTTCTGCCATTTGCAGAGAGAGAGAGACAGAGATAGGCACTTGCGCTTCCCCCCCCCCTGTGTAAAAAAGAGAGTGGCTTCACGCATTTGTTGGACAAGCTGACAAGCTTATTGGGCGGGGCTCCTGCCTTTGCTGCGTCTCAGCAGAAAGCAGGAAACAGAAAGCAGCATCTCTCTCTCTCTCCCTCTCTCTCTCTTTCTCTCCCCCCTCCCTTGTGTGCACGCGCACATGTTTTGTGGCTCCCAGTGTTTTCTTTTCTCTGGGAAACGGGTCCAAGTGGCTCTTTAAGAGTTTAAGGTGGCCAACCCCTGATCTAGTGCAACAGCATCTGAGCAGCAAATGGCTGCCAGGAACAGCCATGGTCATCAGTTAGAAAACCTAGTTCCTTACCTTCTGGTTCCCAGGTTCCCTCTACATTTGATCCCACACACCAATCCAGATGGCCTTGAATTTTCCCTGCTGCCTCCCATCCCACAATTCTGCCAGAAAACACATACTCCGGATCTGCCTCTAAATCAAAATTATATGCTCCAAATCCACGGCCAGAATGCTTTGATCCAGACACAGCCCTTCCAGTACTGGCCGGTCCGTTCATAAAATACCTTGCACATCTTTTGTAAAAGATCTGTATTGCTCGAGCCCGTCCTAAAAACTGTACGTAGAAAGTCAGCACCATCTGCTTATTTTTTTTTTTACAAAGGCGGTTTTTCACACACAAGAGGATTTAATATTGGATTAATTCCTTCAGAAATCATGCCAGCGTCTCATTTTCCTCATATCGGAATCAGAATCTTGCTTTGTCCACTACCCACTTGAATTGCATTCCCATTCCAGAACCGGAACCCAGCCCTCTGAGCGAACCGGAAAGCAAATCCTTACCTTTGTATTTCAGGTGTGAATGCATCATAATCTTGTCGATAACGATATGCATCTGCTTCAGGTTCCGAGGACAGAAATTTTCCCTCTTGGCTTTGTTTTGGAGAAAAACTAGAGAGGGGAGAGGAGGGGGAAAGAGTCACCATTCACAAGAGTCATGAGTTCAGGGTCCTCGTGCTCTCAGCTCAGAACTCGTGCTCTCAGCTCAGAACTCAGAATAAATCCTTGCCTTCCACAAGCCAGAACTCAGCCAAGCTAAAAAGAAAGATATTTTTTTTTCTGATTTCCTAATAAAAGGTTCTTGGTGGAGCTTCTGTATAGGAAGATTCTGTACAACGACAGAATTTGGAAATCTGCAAAGAACTTGTAATTCTCATGCAAGAATAAAGGAAAAATATATGGAAAGCAACTAGATCAGTGTTTCTCAACCTCAGCAATTTTAAGATGTGTGGACTTCAACTCCCAGAATTCTCCAGCCAGCATGCTGGCTGAGGAATGCTGGGACTTGAAGTCCACAAATCGTAAAGTTGTTCAGGTTGAGAAACACTGAACTAGATATATGCCACAGGCCCCAAGAACCAAGAAAGACAATCCAGAATTACTTCCAAGCAGTTTCCTTCATTGTTCATCACCTACAGACAGAAATCTTGCCAAATTAAAGCAAAGTACTTCTATAATTAAATCCAAAGTATATAAAGGTATACTCTGAAAATAGCTAGGAAGGAGCCATCTCGACCCTCTTCCTCCCAGTCAAGCTATCTAAACTTCGTGGCCTCTTGGCCCTCTGGATCACAGCCTCTCCCCCTGGGAATCCAGACTACATTCCACCACACACAGGAAGATACTATGAAGAGGGACTTGTGGTGAGGTCTTTGGCCTCTCCTAATCCCACCCTTTTTCACAATTTTCTACTTTAGCCACCCATCACTTCCTGTCTTCCAGCCCAACACCACCTCATTCGGAGACGGGACAGTACAAAGGAGAAAATTTCTGTTCTTCCATACCGATGTGTGGGTAGTATTCTGTCCCTTCATCGGAGCCAGAGGAGCTACTGGATTCATGGCTGGGAGACGGCGTGGAGGGCTTTACCATTTCAGCTGTCTGAAGGAACCTGCAAATGGAGAAGAAAACCCCTCAACTAGTAGTAAATCTTCCATTATTAAGAGGAAAGATGGCAGGATTCTTCTGTTATACTTCCCTAATTTTGATACTGCAAAAAATATCTCCCAATGTTAACCTTGTCAGAAGAGGTGAAAGAGGGAAGACCTTTAGCAGTCTCGCTATTATCTAGAGACCCCAAAATACCTACATTCAGAGAATTAATATTTAGTGACATTTACAGGTAAGGTTTCAGAATTCAAGTTTTTGTTGAAAAGAATAGATTGTACACTGGCCTTAAGCAGCAGGAAAATCAATTATTAAAGGACTTTGGACTTCAAACAGTTGACTATAATTCTTTGTTCACAATAGGGCTTATTCCAACCCATCTCTCACCTGTATAGGCTCAAGTCAGTAAACCAGTCTTGTACCACAATCACCACATGGCAGACGGTGAAGAGGAAGGCAGCGATCTGAAGGGACTAAAAAGAAATTTCAAGTAAGCAGGCAGAAAGACAGGAAAGGGCCTTTGGATGCATGCCAAAATTCTTGGTCTGGAGCTGTGCTCACAAGAACAAAGAATCTCTCTGTTCCAGAACTGATGACATCACGGTAATCATTTAAGGATGGTGAATTGATTGACAGTCCAACCCAATGAAATGTAAGTTACAATGAAGGGAAACGGCAAGAAGACTGAAACAACTAATGTAAGGAAAAGAAGAAGACAGGATTATGACGTGGTCAAAGGTGGAAGAGTAGAAATTCCCACAAAGTCAGAATTAGTGGAAGTTGTAAAAATGACCAGAAAACAAGGTGCTTTTTGAAACGACTGGAAGACTTTTATGGACTTTTTAATAAAAAAAGTGAAATTTAGTTATTCAATGGATTAAATTAAATTTAGTTATTCAATGAATTAAATTAAAAGGGTTGAAGAAATTTCTAGAAAAGTTAGAAGGGAGGGGAAACAATAGGTTTGTTAATATCTGTTGAAGGGAAGACTGGAATTAATTACATTTCATAAGTTTAGGAATTTTTTTTCTTTCCCTTTTTTTTCTTACCGTTTTCTTTTTTTTCTCTCATTTTCTTAAGAATTGCTTTTTACTTTATATGAAATCCTCAATTAATATAAATAATAAAAAAGGAAATGAAGAAAACAGGTTTATTGTCCCTGTGTTTTCCAACTTTTGTATTCTTTCAACAGCAAAACGGATCAGGGCCCTCAACATTTCCATAGGCAGATTCGCTCTGGTGCAGGGGTAGGCACTCTTGGCTCTTTTATGACTCGTGGACTTCAACTCCCAGAATTCCTGAGCCAGCCATGCTGAGGGGAAAGGGAGAGGTTTCCAGGCTGAGCCATGCTGGCTCAGGAATTCTGGGAGTTGAAGTCCACCAGTCATAAAAGAGCCAAGGTTGCCTACCCCTGCTCTGGTGCTTACCTGAAGTGAAAGTGCTGCAGGTATTTCTTGCAGCCACTTCTCCCTCCCCTGCTCTACAAAAGATAAGATGGACCATTACCTGCATCTCAACATAGGTATGGGGTAGATTGTACTCCGGCGGCAGCTTGCGGTCGTTATTGATCAGGTGGTCTAGGATGGAGGGGCTGAGAATGGGCTACAGAAAGGAGAAGGAACACAATTGGGAGATTGTTAGCTGTCATTCCTTAGCCAAAGCAATCCAAGTCCTGCCCTCAGTTCTCAATGAAAGCTAATCCTCCCTCTTGAAAGAACTGAATGGAGGACAGGGGTCCCAAATACACGTTGTACTAATTGATATTGTTTGTGTAACAAACTCTTGGAAGCAGCATTTATAATGAACAAATAAAGAGAGTGCCAGTTTGGTTTCGTAGTAAAGGCACTAGGCCAAGGGTAGGCAACCTTGGCTCTTTTATGACTCGTGGACTTCAACTCCCAGAATTCCTGAGCTGAGCATAGCTGGCTCAGGAATTCTGGGAGTTGAAGTCCACGAGTCATAAAAGAGCCAAGGTTGCCTACCCCTGCACTAGGCTAAAAAGCCAAGAGATTGTGATTTGTGAGCGAAAACAAACCACAGAAAGATCACAAAATCGCCCACCTGAGTATCCAGGAAGATGATTCGCTCCTGAGTAATAAAGAAATCAATGCCGCTGGTCTGGTTGCCCCCACGCTCCTTGATTTCTTGGCTCTGAGTGCGAAACACGTATGTCCTACAAAAGGGAAAAAGCATTCATAGAAAAATGAACCATGACTGGAAATCTACGGGTTAAACTTCAGGAAATACATTGACTAGCTGAATTGGTCTGAGGGCACGGCACCTTCAAACATTCAAATACTTGAGGAACAAACTGGCAGGGTCTACAGCAGAGTTGTCAACCTTTCCGGCATTAAGACCAGGGGGGAAAGGGGACTGGTTCCATGTGAGCGGCGGGCAAGCACACGCACAGCTCCATTTAGCGCGAGCAGTGGGCACACACGTCCACTGCTTGCGCAAGTGAGAATGTGCGCACGCACACGTGTTCACCTGCCCTGTAGGCTGGTTCCAAATGGCTGAAGGAGCGGTAGTGGGCCACGGGCTAGGGGCTAGGGATCCCTGGTCTAGAGTTTAGCTTCTCTAAGAAAAAAAAGAAGCGGCTGCAACAGCTGAAAATAATAACTTATGTATTTAAAACAAGACTATTCCAACAGCAAGGAAGCCAAATGAAAATTTCTGAACTAGTAATGGATACTTGGCCCAGTATGCCAACAATCTGGAACATCACAGGGACAGAATTACAGGTTTAGCAAGTAACAGCAAAGGCAGAAAAAGAAAGGCAGGGTGTCTCCTAGATTTATAAACTATGACCACCAGTATGTATTCACTGTACGTGCAGGAATTAGATCTCTATCAATGCAATGGAAAGACAGGTCAATGTTATTTCATGAGGTCAAACCTTAACAATGTTTAATTAAATTAAGTTGAAATTGATTCCTGTATGTTCTATGTTTTTGTTGGTCCCTTTGTTCTCTGCTTTTCTTTTCTTTTTTTGCTACATTAAAGCAATTAAAAAAAAACTTCCAAACGTAATGCCCATTAGTAAATTAAGAAGAGCTCCATAACAATCTTCCTTATTCGGTTCATTTTCAAAGCTCACTGCAATCCTTTTTGGATCAATCCGGTATCCAATGGCAAGGCATTTCCTCTTCCTAAAGCCCACCCACCTCTGATCTTCTTCAGGTTGATTGGCTGATAGCAGTGACATCACCATGGACTTCCCAGTACTTTGCAGTCCTAATACCCCAACTACAAGCACATCTGTTTGGTCCAGGAGATACTAATATAAGGGAGAGAAAGAGGAAAAGGGAACAATTGTAAGCGTTAACACCTCATAAAGGAATGAAGGCAATTTAATATCTGTTATCTTCGTTCTAAAACAAAACATAATCCTCTTGTATTGGCTAGCAATGATGGAGCTTATCAATCTATTCTTTATTGGTTTGCACTCTTTTTAATCTTGTTCTTTTTTTTTTCCAAATTGCATTTCAGCCAAAAATAAGATACAGACATACATACATGTAATTTCTAACCCACTTAGAAAAATGGGTTGGGAAAGAATACAAAGTTAATAAAAACTAAACCCCTTCCATATAGCTCAATAGAAAGTAGAGGGGAAAAGGTTATTTGGAAACTATAAAAATCAATTAAAACAAAGAAGCAAATGAAAAGACAGCCAGAAGCTTTGAAAAGCAAGAGGTTCAGAGCAACTAGCCAGATCAACGCAGGGTTTCCAAGAAACATGCCAGAATGGGAGAATCAGAATACAAAAAAGAGTAAGCAAGCAAGAAAAGCTTCTAGAAGATACTCCAAATACCTCAATAGCGCTGTCACACCAGTTCATCTGGTCATCCACTAGCTTGATGCTATGTTTCATCTTCTCCGGGGCTAACAACTTTGCCTGGCCAACCACAGCTGAAAAAAAAATCAGCAAGTGACACCTTAATCCACAAGCTCCCCATACAGGCAACATATGCCAATATTACACCTCCCACTGACTCCCTTGTTGAATAATTAAGTCAAGATCGAGGGCCAACAGTAATAATAATAATAATTTTATTTTGCGGTCACAGACCAAAATGCAAGTGCAACAAAAGAAAACACAAGAAAAATATAGTCACAAACAATTAAGCACCAGAAGCCTTGGCTAAAGGGAATTACAACATTCTCCTCTAATAGTTACAGCTCTTAAAAGAAATTTAGAAACCTGAGAAGTAATATAGGAGGAGCCATCCCCTAGACAATATAAGACCAAATTACTAACATTAGAACCAGAGGGATCAATTCCAAGGAGAGACAGTAATTTAATTCTGGCTGTGTTATACATAGGGCAGTATGATAAGACATGCTCCACAGTTTCAACTTCAGCCCTATCACAGGGGCATAGTCGCTCACTAAACAGGAGCCTCTTGAATCGCCCGTCGAGTAGTGCTGAGGGCAAGACATTGAAACGGGCCAGGGAAAAGACTCTTCTATACTTGGGGATGAGAGGGCCAGCAGTTCATTTCAAGAGGCAGGTCTAACCATTCCAAGCCATACCGTGCCTGCCCTTGAGTTGCCAGGAGAGATGCTCCTTATCGGCTGCCAGAGATAACAATGCTTTCATCCAAAGAAGTGGCCTTTTGGTCCAGACTTACGGTCCATAACGCCGCTGGATGCAGCCGAGCCCATACCCCGATTCTGGATCTGATAGACTGGCTGGGTGGGACGCTGGCCTTCCTTCTCCACCTTGGCCACAGCTGCTGGGGGCTGAGCAGACACCTCCGTGGTTCCGGCAGGGCCTTTGCCTTCCTCTCTGGACTTCATCAGCACAATGGGCTTTTCCATAGGAGGAGCAGCAGCAGGTGCTGGGCCAGGAGCGGAGGCTGGAGCCACCTTGGACTGTGAAGACAAGCAAGCCAAGATCCAAAATCCCTTTCAGGTGTGTAGATATGGCCACAACTGAGTCCAAAATTTCTGCTGCTAAATGAAACATTTGCTAAGTTAAATTTTGCAATCAGGTGTGGTCACGCAATGACCCACTTAAGAACCACCACAACTTACAACTGAAATTCGGGCTCAGTTGACAGTCATCAGTCGAGAACTACCTATAGACGATTTGGAAGTTGGAGGTAACAAGAAAAATTAATAGGTGGTCAGGAACCCAAATTTCTATTACACCCATTGAGGTGTAAAAGTTAAATCTATTTTTCCCCAATGACTGAGACAAGAATTAGCAGCTAAATAGGGTTCTATGGTTATCCTTGAATGAAGAAACCTCCCTTGGTGAATTCTGGGTTCCAAATGATATATCAGGTATTTTTATAAAACCTAAAAGTGGTGGACCATGTTCTCCTACCTACCCTTTCTGCAGGAGGTTTGGCCAGAATGATGGGTGTCTTCTGCATCATTGTCCCCACTGGTTCATCCATCGGTTCCTACAATGAAATCGGGGTCAGACTTAAGGTGGATCCCTGCCCTTATGGCCATGCCACCCAAAGTGTAGACTTTTACCCGCCGGTCTCGGTCCCGGTCCCGGTCCCAGGGGACATAGTCACGCTCTCGCCCTGGTCCAGACAGGCTTTGGTGACCCAGTTCTTTCTCCCGATTCCAGCGACGGCGTCGTTCATACAATCCAGGCTGACTGTGGCCCGACTCCGACATGTGAAAATGGGATCTGGGAAGAGAACAAGAGTCCCATCTACCTTTGGAATGATCACATGAGTGAAGAATTGTATTATCTAACCTCAGAAGAAAAAGGCATGACATTTAGGATGGAGTAGTGGAGAAGCATCACCTGAAAATATCAGGCTTCAAATACGAGGACCAAAAGAAAAACTTAACCTTGGAAGCAGTGTGTGTATAGGACTGGGGATGTGGGCTAAAAGCTACACACCTCTGCCACTATTCACTAGGGGAAGAATTGCTTAAGCCCTCAAAGCAACATGGTTAGTCCTTATTTAGCGACTGCCTCGTTTAGCAACCATTCTGTTATGTCTATGATGAAAAAGCAACTTTGTGGCCAATACTCATATTTACGATCTTTGCAGAAAAACAAAGGAAAACAAAGATCGGAAGCAGTCACTGCTTAATAACCAAGTTTCTAGTCCCAATTATGTCGCTAAACATGGACTACCTTTACATAGTATTCATTTATGTGAAGGTCAGCTCTTCCCTGCTCGTGTCCCCCCCTTGGGGGAGACTGAGTGAGCTTAATTGTAAATTCTAGATTTTTTTATTTTGATGTTTTATTTTTCCTACTATATCGTATGTTTGACCCATTAAGGCACGGAGGAAGAAATACCATTTCCAAGGCAGTTTATCATTCTGAACTAAAATAATATGCTGCAGAGAGAGAGATAGCATGCAATCTGCCCTACATTTTTGTCATTATAGGTTATTTTTACTGTTTTTGCCGTTTGTTCTTGGATTATGTTGTTTAGCTTTGTGTTTTAATTGTGTATGCTGTCCAATCTCACATACATGAGGTGGACAGCTATATAAATTCAAAAACCAAGTAAACAAATACAAGAGTAGGAATCATAGAAAAAGCAAACTCTAAGGAACTTATTGGCTAAAAGTGACCTAAATAAGGCAGAACAATATTGGGGAAGCAGAATGCAAGCAACTAATACTATTGAGCGTGTGCAAAAAGTGCTACAGTTCTGATGAACCATCACAAAGTTTGGGATTAAAAAACACAATTTCTAGGGAGAGATGGGCCTATAATAATTGGCGGAGAGATACACGTCCTCCTGTCAGATGTAGTTGCTAAGCAACCGCCCGTGGACGGATACGAGAGAAAGAAGGCAGCCGCCGGAACTATGTATTCCTCGCGGAAGAATAACGCTGGCTTTTCTCAACGTTCGCGGAAGAATATTGGCGCACTGAAAAACCAGGAACTACCTATTCTCAGTCCCGCAAAGCAATACCTGAGCAGCGGAGTCCTGAAAGCCGATAAGAACCTCGCTTACGGAAGAAATACTCCGGGCCCAGCGTCACGTAAAGTAGAAGGTAGCGTCAATGGGGGCAAAGCTCGTTGCGAGGCAGATGGGATTAGCGATGTGCGGTCACGGAAGGAAGCCGAGAAAGAACCTCGTCGGCCACCGTTGTTTGAGCTAGCGCGCAGGCGCAGGAGGTCATCGTTCGTCCCGAGTGAGAGCACCGTTAGCTTTGATCTGGCGCATGCTCCTTCAAACCTGAGTAGGTTGTTGGATGGCCGTCAGCGTTTTAATTCGTCGCAGCAGTTTTGCGAGTACGCATGCGCCAAAAGCCTACAAGTATGAGCCTAGAGAGGCTTAGAGCGGGAGGCGCGGGTCTTGAAACCGGAATCTTTGGGGTGGATTGGAGACAGCCTTATTTCTAGTCATAGCGCCATCTAGTGGTATCATTAATTTCTAGTGGAAATTAATGGTATTAATTTCTAGTGGAAATTAATGATAGCCTTGACTAGCATCTCCATTGGTTTGGGCACTCTGGTTAAGGACGATGGTATTTGTAGTGCAACGAAGAACTATCAGTTTTTCTGACTGTTACACGCCATGGGGGAGTAACTAAAGACCATGAAGAGAAGCTAAGTTTCGTAGTCAAAGAATATAAAACGTAGTCACACGTAGCACCGAGGCTCTCAAATCTGGGCTGCACAAATAAGGACATGGGAACAAAAAGACACATCACTTTTATACCTTAAAGCTCCCAGCTGGATTTTTGCAACTTTGGTCCGTTAACCATATTCTGTTCCAAAGCATGCATGCTTCTTCCAAAGTGGGAGGGGAGCAGTCTGATTGATATCTGAAGGTATCTTGCAATTGTAAAATCCAATGCATTCTAACACTAGGGATCTGTTGGCACTTTTAAGTTGGATTTCAACTCCCAAAATTCTGCCGCGGAAATTTTGGGAGTTAAAGCCTGCCCATCTTAAAGTTGCCAAGACTGAAAAACCCTGCTGTGTAGAATAATTGCAGATGATTTTGGAAGGAGCCGGATTCCAGATTTTGCAAATGAATGTTCAGTTTTGGAAGTGGCATGGATAGTTATTGTTGTTGTTAGTTGTGAAGTCCTGTCCAACCCATCACGACCCCATGGACAACGTTCCTCCAGGCCTTCCTGTCCTCTACCATCTTCTGGAGTCCATTTAAGCTCATGCCTACTGCTTCAGTGACTCCATCCAGCCACCTCCTTCTCTGTCATCCCCTTCTTCTCTTGCCCTCCATCTTTCCCAGCATCAGGCTCTTCTCCAGTGAGTCCTTCCTTCTCATTAGGTGGCCAAAGTACTTGAGTTTCAACTTCAGGATCTGGCTTTCTAAAGAGCAGTCAGGGTTGATCTCCTCCAGGACTGACCGGTTTGACCGCCTTGCAGTCCAGGGGACTTGCAGGAGTCTTCTCCAGCACCATAGTTCAAAGGCCTCAATTCTTTATCAGCCTTTCTTATGATCCAACTTTCACAGCCATACATTGCAACTGGGAATGGTGCACATTACTTATGGTGGTGCACAAATACCCAGCAGCGCCACTGTCAGCCAGAGAAACTCCCTGGAGGACATGGGGAGGGGGGAGGGGGTGTCACAGCTCAGCCTACCTTACAGGGCTATTAGGAAGAGAGTGGGAAGAAGAACCCGTCTTCTCAGCTCTGAATTACGGGAGGAAAGGCGTAGCTTCCAAGCGCAATGCACAAAATGCCCTTCAACCAAGGACCTTTGCGTGCTTGCAAAGGGCAGGACCAGTTCCAGGAACAAAGCCAGCCCGGTGACCTTGGGCCAGCCCCTTTCTCTCAACCCTAGGAAGCAGGCAATAGCAAACCACTAACGAAATCTGGCGGAAAAACTGTCCTGGCAAAGGGCATCGATCCCACCCATTTAGTCTGTAAATTGCAGCGGAACGCCCGAACCCAACCCGCAGCAGCAGCAGGAGCAAAGGAAGGACTCGGGGAGGCTTGACTACAACTCCCGGCAGCCCTTGCGCTTCTGCGCACGCGCGGTCCACTTTGCTCCCGGGCTGCAAGCGCCGCCGCCGC